CCGGGGCCGGCAGCGGCTGCTCCCCGGCGGAGAGCCGCTCCCTGCGGGGCCGCTGTCGAACGGCAGCCCCCGTTCTTCCCCGGACCGGCCCTCCGGCGGGTTTGTTTCGGGGCGCTTCCCCCCGCCTCCCCTCCCGTCCGGTGACCGGCGCAAGGTGACCGGGGGGGGCTGGCGGCGCCCTGGGGGAGCGGTCGTCGGGACAGTCCCCCGCCCGCCCGCCTCCCCCCGACCCGCTCTTACCCTGGCTGCTGAGCGGGGGCTGCGCCGGTTTCCTCATCCAGTCGCAGAGGCCGCGGCGCTGCCCGCCGGGGGAGAGGGGCTCGGGGGCGGCGGCGGCAGCGGCGGCGTTGGCGGCGTTGAGGGGCTGCATGACCCCGGCGGAGCAGTGGGGCGCGGGGCCGGCGTGGTGGTGGGCGTGCGGGGGGTGGTGGTGGTGGTGGTAGTCGGCGGGGCTGTAGGCCATGGCGGCGGCGGGGGAGCCGCCGTTGAGGCCATGGACGGCGCCGGAGGGCGGCGGGGCCCCTTGGCCGTAGGCGCCCCAGTCGTCGCGGAGGGGGGCGGCGTAGGGCGAGGGCCAGGCCGGGCCGGGCGACTGGGCGCTGTCGAGGTTCACATGGTAGCCGCCGTAGTCGGCGTACTGCGGGGCGCCCACGAAGTTCTGCGCCGCCAGGTTGAGCCCCCCCGAGTGTCGCACCGGGCCGGGGTACATGGGCCCGTCCTTCTCCAGGAGGTAGCTCACGTACATGCTGTCGGGGTCCCGGCGGCGGTTCTCCGCATGCTGCTCGGGGCTCTGGCCGCGGCCCGCCTGCTGCCTGGGGACGGGCTGCCCGGGGCGGGGAGGGGGCAGGCGGAGGGGCCGCGGCCCCGCACTGTGCTCCGCGCTGCCGGCTCCCGGTCCGAATCCAATGGCCGGCAGCACTTACATGATTAACGATTGTTTACAAGGCTCTATTAGTAATGGCCCAGACACACCAAAGGCAGGTGACGTGGAGAGGCGCTGGGTATATAGCTACTACCCCTAAAAGACGATTTGCATTTAAAAAGATAAGGAGAGGGCAGCGACCTGATCACAGCTAAATATTCAAGCCTTTATTGTTTAAGAGCTTCCTCCTTCCATTGCAACCTGGTGCACTTTAACCTCCAATCACAGGTTCAAAGGATGAAATCAAGAGACTTGCAAAAGACAGAGAGGGAGATCTAAGGGTGAGGGTGGGAATATGGGAACCGTGTATCGCGGCGATCTGTGGGCAGCACTTTAACCAGCTCTTCTCCGTGCTTGGGGCTGGGGTTGGGGGGGGGAGGAATAGGCGGAGGAGGAGGGAGTTTTGATTAAAAATCCACAAAGCCATCATTTTGTCGTGGTTGTTTTAAGCAACAAACCCCACGTCGACGGCCTACTGCTTTTCCTAACGCGCTTCCCACCCGCTCTCTCCTACTCGGTCACGGGCGATGGAGGAGAGGTAAGAGGAGAAATCCCCCGCTCCGAGGGCGCTGCCTCCTCCCCGACGCGTGTGCCCGTAGAGCTTCGAGGCCAAGCGCTGCCCACCTTCCCCGTCCCAGCCCGGGCCCTGGTGCCGGGAAGGGACGAGGACTTCCCCTGTAACACCCCCTTGCCGCCGTTCCCTCCGCTGGAGCGAGGCCGGAGCATCCCTCCGAGCGCAGGGACCTGGCTGCGGGGGAACCCACGGGGGGACCCACCCTCCCCTGCCCGCAGCCCGCCACCTCGGGGGGCGATTCCCTCGCTATAGTGCGACCGAGCCCACGGGGAAACCGGCGACTTGCCCCTCCGCGCACATAGGCTTTTTCCCACCCCGACGCCTTGGAAACCCGCTGGAAATGCTGGCCCGGGAAAGGCGGCTCCCGGGCGAGCGGCGGCCGGCTCCCCCGGGCCAGCCAGCCCCCTTTGAAGAGGCGACCCCCTCTCGGCTTCCCCCCGCCGCTTTTATGCTTTAACTTTTCACCCTGAGCGGGGACAATGCCAGACAACGTTTGCATATTCGCATCTTTTCCCATGACACAGCGAGAAAACCTTTCGCCCGCCGAGAAAGGAAAAAAAAAAATGGAGAAAAAACCGGGAGCGTTCCCCTGTTTTTCCAGCACGGTTCGCTGGAGCAGCGCAGCACCGGCCCGGCCCCGACGGTTCTCCCGGGAGCTCGGGGCCGGTGCAGCTGGGTCCTGCCGGGATTCCCCCACGGGTCCCGCATGTCCCAGGTCTTTCGCGGGGGGATGCGGGTGGCCGCGTCCCAGGGGTATTTTTCCTCCCCCGTGGGTGGCTGTTGTGCAGACCGAGGAGCGTCCCTCCCCAGGTCACTGAAACGGGGCGGTTTGCAGCCCAGGGCGCATTTCAGCTCTGCAGAGACAGATCTCCAGGTCCACACTCCCCGAAAATCTTCCTCTCCTCTCCTCCCTCTCTCCTTCCACCGAGCTCTTCGGTGCAGAGCGTGGGGCTGCCGCGGAACTAGGTTTTAACACGAGTACGACTAATTCAGCGACGACTCCCGCGACGGTCCCGTGGGCCTGGGGGACCGGGGCGCTCAAGGGGAGAAAGACTGAGCATCGCTCCTGGGGAACAGACCCCAGGCAGCCCCCTCGGAACCGCCGTGGGTACCCCCGGCTGCGAGGAACGGGGTACCCCCACCCTGCACACAGCCGGTAAAGCAGTAACTGCGCCCACACCGTCACTTGTCGTTCCCAGACTGTTGCTGACGGCCGCGGGTGCGACCCTACGATAACAACAGCACGACAGCAGGGACGCGGGGACGCCTGCCAGCCGCCTTCTCTGAAGGGGATTTCTCTCCCTGCTTCCCATTCCTACTATCACGCTCCCCTCCCCCCCCCTCCCCGTGGGGTAACGGGGAGAGGGAGCGGGACTTGCAGCCCCCCACGCTCTCTGCCGCAGGAGACCGAAATGCAGCTCTGGAAAAAAAATACCGCATCTCTTCGGCGTAATCACCGCTCCCGATAAGCACCGACACAATCCATCTATGCGGATGTGAATTTGATGATGCCATAAACGGAGGAAAGGGCTATTAAAATGACAAAACTCAGAACGTATTGTATTAAACCGCACCAAAACGCTGACAAAACCCCGAACCAGCCCGGTTCGGTGGCTAAGGCTCCGTCCGGGAATCCCCGGCAGGCAGGTGGCAGCGCTTTGGTGGGGTGAGAGCCGAGCCGGTGGGGATGGGGGCGGATGGGAGCCCCGGGGCTCCGGCGGAGGAGCCGGACAAGGCTCCGAGACAGCACCGCGCCCGCCCGGCCTCGGCTCCTGCCGGGCTCTGCCTTTGCCCGTCGGACAAGTGACCCCCACTCCCCCCCGAGCACGGGGAGGCCGGGCCCTGCCAGCCGCCCCCCACCCGCAGCGGGCGGCGAGGGGGGGACACGACCCGCTTCCCCCACCGTGGGGGACATCCCCGGCGGCACAGCCCCCCCCGCCCCCGTCCCGCAGCGACCTGCCCGGCTGCTGGGGGGGGGGGGACGCTCTGTCCCCGGGACCCTCTTGTCTTAAAATAAGAGGGACGCCGCGCACACTCCCAGCCTTCGTGCCTGGGGGCCGGCCGGGCTCCCTTTCCTTGCGACTGGGGCAGGATTTGTCCCCCCTCTCGCCCCCCCAGCCATCGGGGCTTCCCGAGTGGATTGGGGAGAGGGGGTGTCTTTTTCAGCTGGGTTTTCCCTGTTTTTCCCTGCGGGACTGGAAGAGGAGACCAAGCGGGATGTTTCCCGAGCCCGTTCCTTCTCCGCCTCCGCCTCCAGGCTTCCCGCCGACTCGGGCCCAGAGCCCCAGCACCGGGAGAGGAGCGGAGACCCCGGGGCCGGACCCCGACACAGGAGGGCGGGCGAGTCCCTGATCTCTCCTTCTTTGCTTCCTCCGATCTTTTTTCTTTCTTTTTTTTTTTTTTTTTTTTCTTTTTTTTTTTTTTCTTTTTTTCCTATTTCGTTAGCTCCTGAGCGGGGAAACGCGATCCAACGCCTCACAAGCTGACAAGTGCCTGATCGGGGCTACCATTTGCAGGGAAAATACATTTTTTTTCCTTTCCCCCTTTTCCATCTTGATCCCGGTATTTTCACCGAAGGGCTGTTTTACCCGGGGATCCGGCCCGGGCTCCTCGCCCTCAGCCCCAGCTTTATTTCTTGAGTTGAAATAATTATTTCCCAGGGAATCTGCCTGCCCCGGGGAGGGGGAGTCAGGTCAGCGGCACCATTGCGTGGGTAACGAAGCCAACACTCGTTGTCGCCTCGGGCCCCGGGGCCGGGGAGGGCAGCACAGCCCGGGGACCCCCGTCCCGGACCCGAGATCTCCCCGTAAGACCCGGGAAGGGACGAATGCCTCGCAGCCCCCGCGATGACTCCTCCACCGGCTGTTCCCTCTTGCCGGGACCCTTTTCGGACTGAAGATTCACCTTCTTTTTTATTTCTAATAGTTTTCTATTTTAAAGATATTTCTTTTTCTGTCGCTTAGAAGAAGCTCGTGGTGTTGGGGGGAATGTGGGATCCTCCCCTCTCCCCCCACCTTAACGACAAGGAACGGGGAGCTTTGTTTGCAAGGTTAAAAAAAAAAAAAAAAAAAAAAAAAGCCTGCTTGAAAGCCCTTTGGTGGCCGAGGAGAGAGAAGGGAAGGAGGAATCGTGTGTTAGTTAGTCCGACCTGTGGAATTTATGACTCCCCCTAAGCACAGACATGATAAGGACTTAGAAAACATCTTGGATCTTTTCAAGCCGGCAGCCCCCGAGGCTTTGATGTAGATTACGTTGCAGAATACTTTTATCGTGGGGTTGATACTCGGCTTGTTTAAGCACATGCCTCTAGGAGCGGGTTAGATGCTCAACGCTCGCTCCCGAGCGGATTCGCGTTGCTGGGAAGGAAGCAGAGCCGGGGACGGGGGGGTGGCACCTTGTGCCAGGCTGGGGCTCCGCCGCCCCCCCTGACCCTCCTCGCACAGGTGCTGTCGGGGCTGAGCTCGCACCTTCCCGGCTTCGGGAAACCAGAAAGTAAGGAGAGAAGGGGGAAATAAAAGCCAAATTAGGCACAGGCTGGGTGTCCCCAGCCGCTCGGGCCCAGGGGCCAAACCTTCCCGGGAACACGCTCGGTGTGTCCGACGGGAGGCCGAAGGCTGGTCCCTGTCGCGCTCTCTGCCCCTGTTTTTCGGACTGGGAGTTACTTCGCTCCCTTAGAAGTCGCTGGTGGGCTGCCACGGGACACCTCTGCTGGCTGGTGAAATCCAGCCGTGGCTGGATTTTTAATTTTTTAATTTATATATATATATATATATATTTTTTAATGGCAATGGGAAGGAAAGCCGCACCAGCCCGCCCCAGATCGCGGTGCCTGCTCCGGCCTCCTTTCCCGCCTGTGCCCGGTCCCTGCTGTCACGTCCTGCGGGGGAAGGCCGGGGCCTGGTCCGGTGACGGGCGCCGTGAGTCACCCGGCAGCGCGCACCCGCGGCAAGGCCCCGACGGCGCGGCCCCGACCCCGATCCTGACGGGCGGGGGCTGCGGTGGTCCCGCTCCCGGGGAGGGAGGCAGGGCTCGGCCGTTATCACCCCCTGCCCGTCGAGGACACCCCCCCTCCTTCTCCCTCCCCGTACGGACGCTTCCCGGAGCACGCAGGGCCGCTGTTATCTTCCCCGCCTGCCAGCCCGGCCCCGGGGAGGACGTGGTGGGAGCGTGGTGCTCTCCGGCCGCACGCTTTCGGCTCCGCAGCCAGGCCCAGGCTGGGGGCAGCCCGAGGCAGGGGTGTCCCCCGGCACCTCAACCCTCGCCCAGGGCCACACCGCTCCCAGCAACACCTCACGGCCCGGCCCAGGTGGTGGGATGGTGCAGGTAAGGCACGTGTTGGCTTCCAAAACATCAAAATGGCTTGCACACGTTTGCTGCCATCAGATGTAACCTTGAAATGTTACGCCCCATGCCCATGTCCTCCCACACGTCTGGGCAGCGCTAGTCCTGCCGCTCTGCCCCCACCAA